CAGAAGAAGAAACTTGTTTTTCAACATAAAACCAAAAATAAGAAAACGAAACAACAATTTTCTTCATTATTTGCACCTCTGGACTGAACCAGGACTAAACCAGGTCCGGGACCAGACCGGGACTGAGACCAGGACTTAGACAAGGACGGAGTCAGGGACTAAGACTGAGACCGGGATCAGACAAGAACTGAGACCAGGATTGAGACCGGGACCAGACCAGGACTGAAAATGGTTTAGTCCTGGTTTTCTCCTGATTCAATCCTGGTTTCAGTCCTGGTTTAGGCCTGGTTTAGTCCTGGTTCAAGTCCTGGTTTTAGTCCTTGTTTGTCCTGGTTTCCTGGTTAGTCCTGGTTCAATCCTGGTTTAGTTGGTCCTTTCCTGGTTTAGTCCTGGTTTAGTTCCTGGTTTAGTCCTGGTTTAGTCCTTGGTTTAGTCCTGGTTTAGTCCTGGTTTAGAGTCCTGGTTTAGTCCTGGTTCAATCCTGGTTTTAGTCCTGGTTTAGTCTGGTTTAGTCCTGGTTTAGTCCTGGTTCCTCATCCTGGTTTAGTCTGGTTCCTGGTTAGTCTGGTTTTAGTCCTGGTTTAGTCCTGGTTTAGTCCTGGTTCAGTCCTGGTTTTAGTCCTGGTTTAGTTCTGGTTGGTTTAGTCCTTGGTTTTAGTCCTGGTTTAGTTCCCTGGTTTAGTCCTGGTTTAGTCCTGGTTTAGTCCTGGTTCCTGGTTTAGTCCTGGTTTAGTCCTGGTTCAATCCTGGTTTAGTCTGGTTTAGTCCTGGTTTAGTCCCCTGGTTCAGTCCTGGTTTAGTCCTGGTTTAGTCCTGGTTTAGTCTGGTTTAGTCCTGGTTTAGTCCTGGTTTAGTCCTGGTTTAGTCCTGGTTCAGTCCTTGGTTTAGTCCTGGTTTAGTCCTGGTTTAGTCAGTCTGGTTTAGTCCTGGTTTAGTCCTGGTTTAGTCCTGGTTTAGTCCTGTTTAGTCTGGTTCAGTCCTGGTTTAGTCCTGGTTTAGTCGTGGTTCAGTCCTGGTTCAGTCGCCATTTTAAAATCACAGAAACGCCATTTCCCATTTCCGTGATTAAACCAGGACTAAACTAGGACTAAACCGTTCTGGACTAAACAGTTCTGGTCCTGGTCCTGGTCTCAATCCTGGTCTTTCTGGTTTGGTTCTGGACCTGGTTTAGTCCTGATTCAGTCTTGTTCAGTCGAATGAACGAATGATACACAGATTCTTCTCCTTTACAAAATGTTCCAAATTCTCCACGAGCCGCAGATGTTCTCCTGATATTAAACTTTATTCTCATAATATTATGACTTTAATGTTGAAATGTTACGACTTTATTCTCGTAGCGCCAGCATTTATTTTATTTTTTTCTGACCCTTTTACTCCGTCGTAGATTTTTCTCATCAAAATAGCTCAGATTTAAAGGGACAGAATGGAATTTTGGACATAAAGCCTCGTTTCCTCGTGATCCAGAGACGAGTGGAGACACTTTAAAAAAAAAGGCAAGTCAAATTTAGTCCACGTTCAGTCTGCAGGTTTAACGCTCAATTCAGATTTTTATGTGAAATCCGATGTTTTTTCGAGGTCGTTCACATTTCCAGTTAAATGTGACTTGTATGTGACTCCAGTGTGAACATTAAACGGTCCAAAAGTGTCCCACATGTGACACTGGAGACACGATGACGTCAACCGCAGCGAGCGTCTCTGTGTTTACACAAGTTGAACAAACATGGACGCAGCATCGAGCACCTGGAGATTTTAAAGTTCCTCTCGTACGGAGCCACAAACATGAACAACTGACTTGTTTTAAAAGGAGGAGATTGAGAAGGAGAAGGACCAGGTTTTTGGACAGTTTTTTTTTAGTCCCAGTTTAGTCCCAGTTTAGTCCAGTTTTAGTCCCAGTTTTATCCTAGTTTATTGCCAGTTTTATTTTAGTCCCAGTTTTTAGTCCCAGTTTAGTCCCAGTTTAATCTCAATTTAGTCCTGTTTAGTCCCATTTTGGCCCTTTTAATTCCATTTTAGACACATTTTTGTACCATTTTAGTCCCGGTTTAGTCCTAGTTTATTGCCATTTTAGTCAAATTTTTATCAAATTTTTGTCCCAGTTTAGTTCCATTTTAGTTCCAGTTTTGTCCCAGTTTAGACCCAGTGTAGTCCCAATTAAGTTCAGTTTTAGTTCCTAGTTTATTGCCATTTTAGTCCCATTTTTATCTAATTTTAGTCCCAGTTTAGTCCCAGTTTAGTCCTGTTTAATTCGTGGTGTTTTGTGGTGAGTGGAGATGTGCTTCACTTCAGTCACATGGATCATGAACAGTTTTCTCCTACTTCAGTGCAGAATAGTGACGTTTGTGTCTTGTTGATGACGTGTAGGTGGATGAATGTGACCTGACTGTTCACACTCAAGTCACATGTTAAAGATCAGATATGGATCAGTTTCAGGAGCACAGATCCAAGTGTCCTGGGTCACGTTTGAAAACATCACATCTGTGTGGTTCAGACATTAAAAGATCAGATACAGGAACATAGAGACAAAAAATCTGATTTGGGAACTTCAGGTGCATCTGAACACAAGCTCTGTGTTGGCGACGATTCCCCAGATCCCCGAGGATTTAAAGGTTTTATGGAGGATTTTTTTTGTTTCAAATTGTCAGTGAAAGTTTAAAATCCATTACAGAGACGCAGCAGCTTTTTGTATTATAATGACCAAAAAAAAAAAATAATGAAAATCTATCAACTGTGGACTGTTGAGGCAATAAACATCAGCCAATAGAAAACGAGGCTCCCTCATTTTCTATTGGCTGTCAGGTTGTCAATCAAACTCCCTAGTGTAACTGAGTCGTCGGCGCGCGGGGATTATGTTTTATGCAGCGGTTCTTACAAACTGTAGTTTCCTCGCATTTCGCACAAAGTTTGTCGGACGGTGGACGAGAATCCACGACCAGTTCGCCGCAAAAGAAAGTCGGTTTTTGAGGTCGCTGAAAGAAGAAGAGAAGGAGAAAAAGGAGCGAAGACAAACTGAGGTGATTCTTGGAGATTCCTTCCACCGATGGTGCGACTGAACAGACGAAGGGTCTAAAAACTGACGCGTCGGTCGATAAATTACCTCTAGACAGGAAACTTCAACTGTGATTCTGAACGAGCACGAGGACTGTTGCTGTATTTCTCTTCCCTTAAAAAAATCCTCTATACAAACTTTAACCAATCGCTGCTGTTTGGTTGTGACGTTTGTAAAGCTCCAAATCCTGTAGGAAGAAGAACAATAACGTCTTTCCCCGAGATAAAATTCATCAAACATTCTCTTTGTTCTGGCTTTAAAGGTTGTATAGAGGATTTTTTAAGGAAACAGAAATACAGAGACAGTCCTTTTTTAAATGTGCATGCGTGACACCACCTTCCTCCTCCAGTACAAACACCTCCTCCCGCCTTCTTACTCTAGAAATCGCACTTGTTTACAGCCGGTGCACGTTCAGAATTACTGTTGAGAAATAATTTATCGACCGACGCGTCAGTTTTTAGACCCTTCGTCTGTTTCAGTCGCACCATCGCTGGAATGAATCTCCAAGAATCACCTCAGTTTGTCTTCGCTCCTTTTCTCCTTCTCTTCTTCTTTCAGCGACCTCAAAAACCGACTTTCTTTTGCGGCGAACTGGTCGTGGATTCTCGTCCACCGTCGCGACAAACTTTGTGCGAAACTGCGAGGAAGCGACAGTTTGAAAAAGCCTCTAAGAACCGCTGCATAAACCACATAATCCCCGCGCGCCGACGACTCAGTTACACTAGGGAGTTTGATTGACAACCTAACAGCCAATAGAAAATGAGGGAGCCTCGTTTTCTATTGGCTGATGTTTATCTGTCCTCAACACGTCCACAGTTGATAGATTTTCATTCTTTTTTTTTTTTGGTCATTATAATTACAAAGCTGCTGCGTCTCTGTAATGGTATTTTAAACTTTCATTGACAATTTGAAACAAAAAAAATCCTCCATACAACAAACACACAAACACACACGGAGCAGACAGCGACCGCACAGCGACACACACCACACACACACTCATCAGTCCACGCCCACGAGGAACGGAACGGAGGAACGAACCGAAAAAGCCACGAGCGCGACGTGCCGCTTCTAGACACGACTGAACAACTGAGTCACTGCGAACACGCCGACAATCCGTTGGTCCCAGACACACCCTCCCTACACGAAAGTTTTAAAATGTCAAAAATGACCGATAACGACGGACAAAACTGAAATTCCGTTGACCAAGATTAGAATTTCTGTCGAGATGAACGGAAAACTGTGCTTAAAGACGGGGTATTTTTGGAGCTTTCTCCCATGTTTTAACGTTCCATCGTCTAAAAACAACATGTCAACATCACAAAAACATGTCTGAAGAGGTTTTAGAGACATCCACGTGTGTTTGAGTAATCTAGCGATCTCTCTGTACGAGATTTCTCCATAAATACGACAGTAAACACGAAAATTCTCCATGAATAATACAAAAACGTGACAGAAAACTGCACTAGATTCGTTAGAGGGGACGCGCGGTGATTGTGTTGTGATGGCGCTCTGAAGGGGGAGCGACTTAGCAGCAAAACTGAAACTTATAAAACACGTTAAGCTGTTGTTGCGGGTGATTATAGCGTTTACAGAACAATAAAAAGAGCTAAAAATGTGAGGAACGGAACGGAGGAACGAACCGAAAAAGCGACGAGCGCGACGAGCCGCTTCCAGACACGACTGAACAACTGAGTCACTGCGAACACGACGACAATCCAGCGACAGACACTACTCCCTACACGCCACAACTGAACAAAGCCCAGAGTCACCGTGAACGAACAAACAAACAAAACCACTCACCCATCACACTGTTGGGTTTCCTTTAAAGTCCCACGCGCTTTATTTGTGAAAAAAGTTCAAAAACACACCATTTAATAACAGTGTCTTATAATCCAGAGCGACTAATAACCCGGAAAATACAGTAACTCATATTTGTGGTTCTTCTGTGTCTCAGATCCTGAAGTTGAGCTACAACAGGCTGGAGGAGCTGGGTTCCGCTCAGACCTTCTCGGGTCTGTCGTCTCTGCTGCGTCTGTACCTGGATCACAACCGGCTCCGCTGGATCCACCCCGGGGCCCTGCTCCTGACGCCCCGACTGCGCCTGCTCAAGCTGCAGGGCAACAGACTGCACCAGCTCCACCCCCACACCCTGTGCACGCTGTCGGTGCTCCACACCTACTGCTTCTCCACACTCAGGTAAGAGCTGACGTCACACTGCCACGTTCTGTTTGAATCCAGAACTACACCTGAATGTTTCCAAAACGAAGGATATGATTATCGACTTTTGAAAACAAGCGCCTCAGTGTGACGTCACAGAGATGAAGGTTCAGTCAGTCGAGTGTGTGACTCATATAAATCTCTTGGAACAGTCATTGATTCAAAATTGAGTTTTGACGATAATTGTTCTGGTGTGTGTAAAAGAGGCTCCAGCGTCTTCACTGTCTGAGAAAGTTTTCCTTTTACCGTGTAACAGAACCATGATGACTCTGTTTTATAAAACATTTATGGAATCAGTTTTAACGTTTTCATTGGTCTCGTGGTTTGGGAACATTTCTGATAAAAACAACAACTCCCTGAATCAGTCGGTTAAATGGGCGAGTAGGTGATTGTTCGTCCTCAGAGTCTCTGGACTCGAGACATTTACAGACGACGTCCCAGAGGATTTTAAGAGACGAGCAACATCCACTGAACTCAGAGTTTCAGATGCTTCTCTCTGGTCTGAGGCTTTTAGTCCCAAGATCTAGAACAAATCGTTTTAAAAGGAGCTTCGTTCCGGCTGCTGTCGAACTTATGGATAAATTGTAATTTATTTATCTAAGATTGTGTGTTTTTTACATATTTAAGATTTATTTATTGTGATTTTAGACAAGCGTGATGGATGATTTTAATTGGTTGTTTATGGAACAAACCGTTCTGCACTGGAGCGTCTGTAACACTTTATTGTGTTTTTATGTGTGTTTTGTGGATGAATGAAATGTGAAATGTGGAACCTGCATCTCAAATCTGCAAAGCAAATTTACCTACGGGTACGAATAAAGCGACCGAACCGAACCTAAGAAGAGTCTGAAATACACGCAGCCTGAATTTCAGACGTCATCGCACAATTCATACTGGGAAGGATCCTCGGAAAAAGTGAAACCTCCAGTGGGCTGTGCTATAGGCGAGTTTCATTGTTGACAAAAGCGTGCGTTTCATGCTGGGAATTATTTTGGTCGGCGGCAAGAAACACAAATTCAACACGACGGACGGAGTGAGAAAACACGTAAAGGGTATTGATCCCGGTTATTGATCCACTCTAACGGCAGACGACCCAAGACCATTTGACCAGAAATTGGTCATAAACATCGACGGACGACAAATCACCCTTTTCAACCCCGACAGAACCTGGACCAAACCAAACTTCTGGTCAGAATCTCCAACTACCTGGACAAATATTCACTTGGGCGACATCCACAATGACTTGGTGGAAACTCCTGTGGTGTGAGTTTGTGGTGTGAGTTTGTGATGTGAGTTCGAGTGTGAGTTTGTGGTGTGAGTTTGTCGTGTGAGTTTGTGTGATTTTGTCGTGTGAGTTTGTGGTGTGAGTTTGTGGTGTGAGTTTGTGGTGTGAGTTTGTGGTGTGAGTTTGTGGTGTGAGTTTGTGGTGTGAGTTTGTTGTGGTGAGTTTGTTGTGTGTTTGTCGTGTGAGTTTGTTGTGTGAGTTTGTTGTGTGTTTGTCGTGTGAGTGTGAGTTTGTGTGAGTTTGTGGTGTGTGAGTTTGTGGGTGTGAGTTTGTTGTGTTTGTTGTGAGTTTGTGAGTTTGAGTTTGTTGTGAGTTTGTGGTGTGAGTTTGTGGTGTGAGTTTGTGGTGTGAGTTTGTGGTGAGTTTGTGGTGTGAGTTTGTGGTGTGAGTTTGTGGTGTGAGTTTGTGTGTGTGTTGAGTTTGTGTGTGTGGTGTGTGTGAGTTTGTGGTGTGTGAGTTTGTCGTGTGTGTGTTGTGTGAGTTTGTCGTGTGTGTTTGTGTGTGTTGTGTGTGGTGTGAGTTTGTGTGTGTGTGTGAGTTTTGTTGTGTGAGTTGTGGTGAGTTTCGTGTGAGTTTGTGAGTGTGTTTGTCGTGTGAGTTTGTTGTGTGTGTTTGTCCGTGTGAGTTTGTTTGTGTGTTTGTTTGTGTGAGTTTGTGGTGTGAGTTTGTTGTGAGTTTTGTCGTTGTGAGTTTGTGTGAGTTTGTGTGAGTTTGTGTGAGTTTGTGTGTGAGTTTGTGGTGTGAGTTTGTGTGTGTTTGTGTGTGAGTTTGTGTGTGAGTTTGTGGTGTGAGTTTGTGGTGTGAGTTTGTGGTGTGAGTTTGTGGTGTGAGTTTGTGGTGTGTGAGTTCGAGTGTGAGTTTGTGGTGTGAGTTTTTGTGTGTGAGTTTGTGGTGTGAGTTTGTGGTGTGAGTTTGTGGTGTGAGTTTGTCGTGTGAGTTTGTGTCGTGTGAGTTTGTGTGTGTGAGTTTGTGGTGTGAGTTTGTGGTGTGAGTTTGTGTGTGAGTTTGTTGTGAGTTTGTGTGTGAGTTTGTGTGTGTGAGTTTGTCGTGTGAGTTTGTGAGTTGTGAGTTTGTGGTGTGAGTTTGTGGTGTGAGTTCGAGTGTGAGTTTGTGGTGTGAGTTTGTGGTGTGAGTTTGTGGTGTTTGAGTTTGTTGTGTGTGAGTTTGTGTGAGTTTGTGTGTGTGAGTTTGTGTGTGTGAGTTTTGTGGTGTGAGTTTGTGTGTGTTTGTCGTGTTGTCGTGTGAGTTTGTCGTGTGAGTTTGTCGTGTGAGTTTGTTGTGTGAGTTTGTGTGAGTTTGTGAGTTTGTCGTGTGAGTTTGTGGTGTGAGTTTGTGTGAGTTTGTGAGTTTGTTGTGAGTTTGTCGTGTGTGAGTTTGTTGTGAGTTTGTCGTGTGAGTTTGTTGTGTGTTGTGTTGTGTGAGTTTGTTGTGTGAGTTTGTGGTGTGAGTTTGTGGTGTGAGTTTGTTGTGTGTTTGTCGTGTGAGTTTGTGGTGTGAGTTTGTGGTGTGAGTTTGTTGTGTGTTTGTCGTGTGAGTTTGTGGTGTGAGTTTGTGGTGTGTTTGTCGTGTGAGTTTGTTGTGTGAGTTTGTGTGTTTGTCGTGTGAGTTTGTTGTGTGAGTTTGTGGTGTGAGTTTGTGGTGTGAGTTTGTGGTGTGAGTTTGTGGTGTGTGAGTTTGGTGTGTGTGAGTTTGTGTGTTTGTCGTGTGAGTTTGTGGTGTGAGTTTGTGGTGTGTGTTTGTGGTGTGAGTTTGTGGTGTGAGTTTGTGGTGTGAGTTTGTCGTGTGAGTTTGTGTTGTGTGAGTTTGTTGTGTGAGTTTTTGTGGTGGTGAGTTTGAGTGTGTGAGTTTGTGTGTTTGAGTTGTCGTGTGAGTTTGTGTGTGAGTTTGTGTGTGTGTGTGTGAGTTTTGTCGTGTGAGTTTGTGGTGTGAGTTTTTGTGTGTGAGTTTGTCGTGTGAGTTTGTGGTGTGAGTTTGTGGTGTGAGTTTGTGGTGTGAGTTTGTCATGTGAGTTTGTCATGTGAGTTTGTGGTGTTGTGTTTGAGTTTGTCGTGTGAGTTTGTTGTGTGTGAGTTTGTCGTGTGAGTTTGTCGGTGTGTGAGTTTGTGAGTTTGTGTGTGAGTTTGTGGTGTGAGTTTTGTGTGTGTGTGAGTTTGTTTGTGTGAGTTTGTCGTGTGAGTTTGTCATGTGAGTTTGTGTGTTTGTCGTGTGAGTTTGTGGTGTGAGTTTGTCGTGTGAGTTTGTGGTGTGTGTTTGTGGTGTGAGTTTGTGGTGTGAGTTTGTGGTGTGAGTTTGTGTGTTTGTCGTGTGAGTTTGTCGTGTGAGTTTGTGGTGTGAGTTTGTGGTGTGAGTTTGTTGTGAGTTTGTTGTGTGTTTGTCGTGTGAGTTTGTGGTGTGAGTTTGTGTGAGTTTGTGAGTGTGAGTTTGTGTTGTGAGTTTGTCCGTGTGAGTTTGTGTTGTTTGTCGTGTGAGTTTGTTGTGTAGTTTGTTGTGTGAGTTTGTCGTGTGAGTTTGTGTGTGAGTTTGTGAGTTTGTGGTGTGTGAGTTTGTCGTGTGAGTTTGTGTGTGAGTTTGTTGTGAGTTTGTGTAGTTTGTGTGTGAGTTTGTGTGAGTTTGTTGTTGTGAGTTTGTCGTGTGAGTTTGTCTGTGTGTGAGTTTGTCGTGTGTTTGTTGTGTGTTTGTGGTGTGAGTTTGTGGTGTGAGTTTGTTGTGTGTTTGTTGTGTGTTTGTTGTGTTGAGTTTGTTGTGTGAGTTCGAGGTGTGAGTTTTGTGAGTTTGTGTGAGTTTGTCGTGTGAGTTTGTCGTGTGAGTTTGTGGTGTGTGTTTGTCGTGTGAGTTTGTCGTGTGTTTGTTGTGTGTTTTGTGTGTGAGTTTGTGGTGTGAGTTTGTGTGTTTGTTGTTGTGTTTGTTGTGTGAGTTTGTTGTGTGAGTTCGAGTGTGAGTTTGTTGTGAGTTTGTTGTTGAGTTGTTTGTGGTTTGTGAGTTTGTCGTGTGAGTTTGTTGTGTGTGTTTGTGGTGTGTGTTTGTTGTGTGAGTTTGTCGTGTGAGTTCGAGTGTGAGTTTGTGGTGTGAGTTTGTCATGTGAGTTTGTTGTGAGTTTGTCGTGTGAGTTTGTCGTGTGAGTTTGTGGTGTGAGTTTGTGTTGTGAGTTTGTGTGTGAGTTTGTCGTGTGAGTTTGTCGTGTGTGTTTGTCGTGTGAGTTTGTTGTGTGTTTGTTGTGAGTTTGTGGTGTGAGTTTGTGGTGTGAGTTTGTGTGAGTTTGTGGTGTGAGTTCGAGTGTCGTCAGGACAGATGCTCAGATTGAATTAGTCGTGGTTATATAAACATCACAGCAGCTGCGTCGAGCTTCGTCTGTTACTGTGTGCGACGACATTTCCCCCGACAAATAAATAAATGAAAGTGAAACGAGCTCCTTTGAGGCGGTGACTTTCAGAACCTCTGTCAGAACCACAGACTGTTCATATAAACGGACACAGATCATCACGGGGACGCTTCAGGCTCCATCGACTCTGGCTCCGATTGGCTCTTTTCACGTTTACCGGAAGAAGTTTCGATGAGGATGACGACTTCTGGTGTAATTCCCGACAATGAACACGTGATAAAACCGCGGATCAGCAGCAGCGTCTTCACAACCTGACAAAGCTTTCGACGGCGGACGGGACAGTGACACTTCGATGAGACTGAAGAATGAAAATCC